AGAGAGAGAGAGAGAGAGAGAGAGAGAGAGAGAGAGAGAGAGAGAGAGAGAGCAGAGAAATAAAGATAGGAAAAAGAGATGAGAGAGAGAGATGAGAGACAGAGAGATAAAAAAGCGAGAGAGTGGCATAGAGAGAAAAAGATGGAGGGTCAGAGAACTATAGTGAGAGAGAGTAAAAGAGGAAGAAATAGAGAGATAGAGCCATAAAGAGATAGATAGAAAAAGAAAGATTTTATAGAGACAGAGAGAGAGAGATAGAGAAATGGAGATTTTAGAGAGAGATAGAGAGAGAGAGAGAGAGATATAAAGAGAAATAAGGAGATAGATAGAGAGAGATAGATAGATAGATAGAGAAAGAGAGAGAGAGAGAGAGAGAGAAAGATAACATATTGATTGATTATGAAAGAACTTAGCAGTTAAGCTGACCTTCAAAATTAGCAGAAACCGACTGACTGACCAATGACAAATTACAGACTGACCGATTGACAGACTGATAGACAGACTAATACTGAGACTGACTGAAAGAGTGACAGAGTGAGTAATACAAAATAGAGAGATATACGAGAGATATTTTAAAGACGTTTAAGAGCTACATTAAAGAATGATATCAGAGAGAAAAGAGAGAAAAAGGGCGATGCAGCCATGGGGACGAACAGACTGGACAACAACTGGACGGACGGACGGACGGACAGTACACTGCGAGTGCAAAAGAAAGAGCTTAGCTTACAGAAGAAAAAAAAAAGTATCACAATGCATTTAATTGAATCGTCGAAGCATTTAGATATTCATAAGCATTCCTACATAATGAAAAAAAAAAAAAAAAACAAAAAAAAACAGAAAACTAAAAAAAATATTCCAATATTTTTGTGTGTGTCACCGTAGTAAAGCCAGATGATGTCTAATGCCATATAGCTATATGTCTAGTCTAGTTTTAGAAGCATTTCGAAAAAGACAAGAAGATGATGAAGAAGAAGAAGAAGAAGCGAAACAGCAACATCACAAAATGAGATTAAAACACAAATATGATATTTATGTAAAACTGATATATTTATGTATCTATATAGACGCAAATATACATGCATGTGTGTATATCCATACGAATATGTGCGAGCGTATACAACAATTGAATATATTTATATATACGTATATATTGATCTATTGAATGTAGTACTTAAGTGCGTGCAAGTGAGTTTCTGTTCGAAAATCAAGCGCAATTCTTGAGTTCGATTTTGACTTCTTGATTTGAAGCATTCGTCAGACGAAACGCGTTTCAAGGTGAACACATGCTAGATTGTTAAACTAATTTTAGTACTATTTGTGCGCTATCGAATTAGGTTAGTCGATAGAGAATACTTTGGCTTGTCCTTATGTGTGCTTCGGATGCTAAGGATCGAGGCTTTACCTGCCATAAATTAATTTACTTTTAGTCTTATCGATAGAGCGAAATACTCGGAGAATGTCAATATCGAAAATATTCTGGTTCGATTTGTTTATATGGGGGTATCCTTGAAATCCAATGGGTATCCTTGAAAACGTCTCCTGACTTCAGTTGCCAAAACTAAATTTGATTGGCTAATCAAAATGTATCGAGTACGCTAAGAATTTCAGATGCTTGCAGCACTACTTAGTAAAACGTAAACAAATAAATGTGTGTACCTAGCGAATAACTGTGCAAAATGTTGTCTACCTACAAGAAACTTAGAGAAAAATGTTGCAGTCGGGCATAACCGACTACACAATGCTCGTTCACAATGGCGTCACAAAGGAGCAAGGAAGGAATTTTCATAGAGCTCAGTTTCAAATCAATGAATAGAAATTATATGTGATCAAATGTACCCATATAGAAGAACAATCCCAGATATTTTCCGATTTCATAGATCATATCGTTTGTATCACAGCTCTACCTGTGGGTAGAGCGCCATCCAATATAAATAGTAAACGAAAATCTTAACTTCTGTCGAAGACAAATCCCTAAACGAAACCTCCCCAAGCATTGTGAACGAATATGAGTTATATACAAACACTATATATACATATATGAATGTCAGAGAAAACAGTATTTATTGAAATATAAAATAAAATCAAGTAAAATAAATAAAATATAGAAACAAACTACAAATTTGAATATCAAAACAAGGAAAATAAGTCCAAATTCGATAAATAAATTAAAATTATAATTTTTATTTTATTTTATTTGTTTATTTATATTTATTTTTTGTGTGTGCGAGCGCAGCTCAAATTGAATAACTAAACATATTATAATAAAAATAAAAAATAAAATAATAATAAAAATAAAGTATATATATACATATATATAAAAAGAAATCTGTAGTTATATAAGATGGAGAATATCGAATAAGGCAGGCACCGAAGTGAGTACTTAAGGAATGTGAAAAACCAAGGAAAAGTGGAAAGCAAACGCAAATGGGGAGGACGAAAGCAAAAGCAAAAGCAAAAGAGAATACAACAATATTACTATGAATATGAATAGCGAATTGCAAATATTAACCAAATGAAGAAGAAACTATTCAAATACCCAAAATATACCCAAAACACACACACAATCAAAGAAAGACACACACACACATACATAGACTCATAGTAATATGTATACCCCAACAACCACACTCACACACACACACACGGCGAGCAGACGGCGTCTTAATAGTTACCTACTAAAAAAAATAAAAATAAATAAATAAATAAATATGCATTTATCAAGCAAATACTACTACTATATTGATCAATATTTAAATGTGAATTTCAACCGTTTCAATTGGTGTCAATGTTCAATATTCAATACATGCAAATATAATATACGCATATGCAATACTACATACGTACATACCTACATACATACATACAAACATACATACAAAAAAGCAAAGTTTAATGAAATATTTATGTATATTACACTTGGAATTCCAAATGAATGTCAAAAGAATAAAATCAAGTTTTACTCAGCAAATGCCACGGCAAAAGCGAATTATCAATAAATTAATTGGATTCTCCACAGAACAAATTGTTCGTTTTAATATGCAGTGGGGAAAATCGTAAATTGGATTACACAGGCCAACATGGTTTCAGTTTGCCGACTGAACGAAGCTCACTGACGATGTGGAGGATGTGGAGCATGAGAGTAGTTCAGTAAAATGGAGCAAATTTAAAGAATTATTTTTTTATTTTTACATTCCAAATATTTATTTATTTATATTCCAAGAAATTATATAGTAGTATATAATTTGGGGCTTTATTATTATTTTTCGAATAATTAACTAACTAATGTTTGGCTTATGATTCATGTTTTTTTGTACATATTTTTATAATACAAAATATATTCTTTTTAGATTACATCTAAAACCCTATTAGATATGGGAAATGCCTTAAGCCCATATTTATTTCATAAGCCAATTTGTGGTCCAGCATATGAGATTTCAGAACACATTAAACGAAGCCCCTACGAATTTCGAAATAATCAATTGAATCTCTGGAATCGTTTAAGGAATTTTTCAAAATGTAACTCAATGTAATTTAAAGAGATCTAACAGACCTCTGATATAATTGCCTAATAAAATGAATAATAATATAATACGTTGTTAATATCTAATATACAATACAAAATATATTATAATTTCAATACAAACCAATTAAAAATATCCATTAGCTGAAATAGACTTGAAAACTCTCTCATCTATAATTAAAAATATTTATTATTATTATTTTTTTATTAAAAAAGTTTTATTAACTATGATAATTATAAAAAAAAAAAATTTATTAAAAAAAAAATTGCGTTTGATTAACATATGGAAGAACGATGTAAGAATCACACGGCAGAGGAATATACAGTGATCATTGGTTACGGCTAACGGTGGGCAGTGCTGGGCGTGGTCTACCATGGTCGCCAGACCACCAGACGCTGCTTCACCAGCTCCGCCAGCTGGCGCTGTCGCTGACGCTTGCGCTCAAAGATTTGATGGCGGATCTTCAGCAGGATGCAGGTTCTGTTGCTCTGTGGCGGCCAGGATGAGGGCGAGGACGATGGCGAAGGCGAGGTCGAGGGCGTGGCATCGCTGCATGTGCTCAACTGTTCCATCAGCAGATCCATGTCGTGCGTGCCAGCCACTGAGTGTGCAGCAGGTTCACAAGGATGAGCACTCATTCGATTGCATGGATCCTGCTGGAGCTTAAGGCGCTGGCGCTAATGATAGCAAGAGATAGCGAGAGGAGAGAGAGAGATTTGATTAGCTAATGACAGCGATTGAATTGGACTGCTGACTCACCTTTTTGCGCGCCGCATTCTCGGCGAGAAATCGACAGAGCTGCTGCAGCTGCTGCTCGGCCAGGGATTCATCGTGCTCCTGCTGTGTGCGCTGCTCCAGGCGTAGCAGTTGGCGCTGCCTAATGGCCGCCTGCACCTTGCACTTGGTCGACGTGTTCAGCTCCATTTGCTGCTGCTGCTCCGTTTGCTGCTGATCAGGCATCTCCTGCTGCTGCTGCTGCTGCTGCTGGCGCTGTTGCTTTAGTATTTTGTATATGACGCCCATGCTCTCGATGATGTCAGCTATCCGTGGTTCACTCGCGCCGAGCTGCTGGCAAAGACTGTCCAAATTTGTAGCCGTTCTTCGCTTCTTATATGAGCAGCGGCTCGGCTACTCCTACGAGCCGTCGACAGAGAAGGGGAGGAAGAGGGAGAGAGAGTGGAAGAGGGAGAGAGCGACGGGTGTGAGAACCGTTGCTGGGTTTTTTGGAAAATGCATACCAAAAAAAGAATTACAAATAAAAATAAAACATAACTCACTCACTGTGCGCGCGCGTGTGTGTGTGTGTGTGTGTGTGTGTGCGCCAAACTTCAACTTGCCATATGAGCCATTGCCTCAAGTGGAGTACTATTTTCTTCTCATTACAATGCCTTTGGCAACAACACATGTGGCGAGCCGAGCATAGCTAATAATAGCCCACTGCATGTGCCGAGCGAGCGAGCGAGAGAGAGAGAGAGAGATAGAGGGAGTGTGAGAGTGACAGTGAGCGTGGCAGCAAGAGCGGGAGAGAGGCACGCACATGCATACATATGTACATATAACACTTTCGCTGCATTGTCAGCGTTTGCAGTCCCGTTACTGTTCTCGTCCCTATCTTTGGCGCCCATTCCAAGTGTCGCCTTGCGCTGCTGAGCCCGCCTTAGCTGACATTCATGCATACTCTTTCACACCGAAGGAGTACAACGAATTTGAGATTCACTTGAACAGTTTTGGAATAATAATCTGTCAGCTATTAAACACTCTTTTATTTTAAAGGGGCTAAGCTGAGCTTTTATATACTCCTATATTATAGACTATATACTCCTTAATTATAGAGTATCAGGGGTCTGTTATTGTGGAGCATAGAGTGGTATAGAGTATAGCTTTGATCACTTACAACTAAATTCATATTCGTATATTTTAATTATAATTTATTAATATTTATTATTCATTTTGATAACTCTTTTATATACATATGTATTTATATGCACATATGTAAATATACATACATATGTTCACAAATATGTAATCATTTTTTTTTTTATTGCTCTTGCTTGAAAATGCATTTTAATAATATTTCATTTCAAGCGTATACGCATGTATTTATACAATTCTATAAATAGCGCATGGGAAAAACACTTTGCAGCAGACGCACTCACACGAGCAGAGAGCGAGCGTAACAACTGAGAGAGTGAGAGAGCGGCAGCGCGACAGAGCGAAGGAGTGGAAGGCGCAACAGCGAAATAGACAAAGACAGAGCCTCGTTCTGGGCTGCGTGTCTGTGTCATGCCATGCACTTGAACTCCACATTCACATGAATGTTCCATTGGCAGCCGCTGTCGCTGTCGCTGTCGCCGTCGCCGTCGCAGTCGCAGCGCTGTTAGCTGTCCATGTGCGTGTTCCCGTGCCTCTGCCCGTGGCCCGATCCTTTTACTATGTAGTCCAGTCGGCTCGGCCGCTTGCCATCTTTTTTCTGCTCTGCTCTGCTCTGCTCTGCTCTGCTCACTTCTTTCTCTTCCTCTTTTATATACACATACATGCATACATGCATATGCGCATACATATTATCACATGCCTGTCGTGCCGTAATGCATGTTTTTGTCTTAATTCTTTTTTTTTTTTTCATTTTGTTTTCTCATTTTGCTGTTTGTATTATTGTTGCTGTTTTATTTGAGCGTCAAGATGTTTCAAAGTGCACTTCAAGTGCGCTACAATTTTAGTCTATTTTTAGATACTTGGGAATACGACAGATAACGCGCCGCCAGGCACATGACGAATCCTCATAGCGCTTATAGCCCTTGGCAGCAGCGTAAATCATAATCATACATAGAGCTGCCATTGAGAGGGAGGGCAAATTAAATTATGCCTAATGAGCGCATAGAACAAATGCTGATTGAAGCATTAGTTACTGTTCGCAGCTTTTACAGCTCTGCACAGTGGAGCCCAAGTGAAGTTCGTGAAATAAAATGTGAGAGGAGGTGATATTTATGTTAATACTTTCCATATAGAAAATAGTTTAGAAAATTTGAAAATATATGTATATTATAAGCATATGATTATTATAGATCATGCTTATACTAATACCAATTCCAAAAACCTATTGAAATTTAAGAGTCAAAGGGAAGTCATAGAATTCAAAGCTACTTTTCTGTAGAGGTATACATATATCAAAGTAGTATATTTAATATAACGAATAAATATTTTAACGTATATGTTTGGTTAAAAATTTGTCTAATAACATCAGATTTATGATATAATAAACAATTATAATATTGGTATAAGATAATATGAAACTGAAATATAAATTTTTCTTTTTACTTTTTTCTATAGAGCTTTAGCAACCATTTAGTTACAGACTTTTATGTATTGGGTCTACCATTTAGATTATTTACGTAGCTATAGAATTTTATCTATTGGCACTATCCCATATTATTGGTATACTGTAGAAATTTGCAGATTTGAATCTGATTCTATTGAAAATATCGTATATCGTATATCTATAATCTTCTTTTGAAGCAATTTGCTTTCAAGTAAAGCTTTCATTAAATTTCGTTTCATTAGCCATTTGTTATCATTAGTAATGCCCATATCTAAATTTCCGACATGTCTAATTTATACACTTTACAATTGCATTAGCTCAGCATTAGCATCTCCCATGCGCATGTGCGACCCTCTCTCCATAAGGAAGAGAATCTATTGTTTCCTTGCTCCCCTTGCTCCGTTTCCATGTCAATGAATGTGTCAGCGATATGTGTGCGTGCGTGCGTGTGTGTGTGTGTGTGTGTGTGCTGGGTTAAGTGAGGCTCTCCGCACTTGAATTTCATTTAGTGGTTCATTCTACACGAGCAATAGTCCCTCCTGCTCTCGCCCTAAATGTCTGTTACGAATGTCACTTGAATGTTGCACTCGTGCATTTCATGCGTTGCATTTTCAAATTGGGCCCCTTTGGAAATGGTCGGCGGTTTGTTGTCTTTTTCGTTGAAATACCCTGCGTGTAAATGGGGTATATGGTTTTGATACCCCATGATACTGTAATGCTGTGACATAGGCAATTATTTTTCGGAATCTGCATCCGATCTCGTTGGGTCCACCTCTGTATGTCTCTATATGTCTCTTTATTCCAATGCATCTACCATTCGATCTGGCAACGTATATGAGCTAGAGGCTCAAAATTATTTTACGGCATTTACTTTAGGTATCTCCAAGTCGAGCACTCCCCAATTCGATCACTCTCACTTGTTCTCTCGTTGGTGACAATTAGCTCAGAGTGCATGTATGCGTGTGTGTGTGTGTGTGTGTGGGTGATCATACATTTCCCACAATTGAACCGGAAAACAAAGGCTACGTACGCTGCAGCCCCGAAATGCGTGGAAACTCTCCCCCGTTTCAGTGGAAAACCCAAACAAGTGCCGAGTGGGTAATATAAATATCCGTATTGCCTGCTCGGATTTGATAGGGCCCAGGCATGGGCTTTTCGTTCTGGGAACTGTGCGGCTAATCGATATGAATTGGCCCTCCACTCGTTCGACTTGTGATCAATTTCTGTATTACTTTTGTTCTATTTGCGTACTTCCGTCTGCAGCTTATTTTTGGCTTCCATCTAGCCCTATCCTATTCTCTAGCTCTCTCTCTTTAGCCCCTTTCCCCTTTTGTTCGATAAACAAATCGATTCAAAAACTCGTTCGAACTGCGATTGCAGCTGACCCACAAATCCTACGCGCAAATCTCTTTGGACAATTCGCTCCTCGTCTCTGGGGCGTCGCAGTGGCGCCCAACGCGTTGGCCCATATTCGTGAGGAAATCGTCACTCGGTGGGGGCCACGGTCACCGGCTGTTCGGCATATTGGCGACCCGACAACATGCCATAAGCGATATGCACAGAGATATATATATATCGTCAAGCATATCATGACACAGCACCACAATTTCTCACGGTTCCCGCTCTGCGATTTGCCAAAGTTCGTGCGGGGATCTTGACAATCCGAGATCCGAGATCCGAGATTCCCCCAACATCTGACAACTTGTCAGCAGCGGTAATAATGAGCTGCGTTTAGGGTGCCCCAACTAGGGGCACATTACATATGATATGATGATGATATGAAGCTAAAAAGCAGATATTCGGGTATGATATATAAGTTTATTTATATGTATATAATTCTTATAGTAAGCGAAATATATATATTTATAGATTACTTAGAGTTTAACCAGTCTCTAATATGCAATTCGTGTCCAGGAATCTGTTAGCCTAGTTATCAGCAACGTCTCGAAACTCCAGCCCCAACTTAGGCCCAGGCAACTCGATGCGAGATATCGTCGCTTGAGGGGAATAAAAATGAAAATTGCTTAAACACATGTTGTAAGACAGAGCCAGCCCACTGCTCGCTGCCTCGACTGGCCACCCACTTGCCGCAGCCGGAGTGACTGGGAGATTGGGGAGAATCGGAGGCAGAGAAGAGCCAGAGGCGTTGCAATGCAGTTGCGCAGCTCTGTGGCAAGTGCAACTGCCCCAAAGAGTGTCGCGCAGCAGCAGCGTGGGAAACTTTACTTTGCTGCAATCTCGAAAAGATCAGCATGAAGCGCAGCCCGAAGCCGGCTAAGGAATACCCTGCCAGAGTGCCAAGGTCTGTATATCGATATTTATCGAACTAGTCAACTATATGCTTAAGATAAATTGAACCTATTTTTGGATAAGCCGACGTATGAGGTTTCATTGCCATAAACTAGCAGACATCAAGCGCACCTGCAAATTGAGCTGGTTTCTACTTCACTCTCATAACAAGCATACTCTGTCTTATCTATTTATAGAGGGTATACTCTAATTACAGTATTTGCTATTATGAATGACAAAGATATCGCTGGCAGCTTTGAGCTTGATTATAGGTAGTTATGATTAATATTTCATGGTGTTAGAGTTTGCCCAAGAGCTAAGCAACTACAATTCAAGCACCAGCATTTAAGACTTAGTCAAGCCCCTAGCAGGCATTACACTCCCATTATACAACTATCAGGAAAGTAAAATGAATATATATTGTATTATTATATGCTCCATGTGAATCAAACCATTTCGTCGCAATCGAAGCTAGAGATCCTTGCCTGAATAAATATGAAGATTCCTCCGATACGTCCATTAGGGGAGTGGCAAACCGGTACATGATATTCCCCCCTTCGTCACATAGCCCATAGTGAACATATT